ATAGAGACCCAGTGCCCATCTGCTACCTTAATACTTAACATTTAAATATATGTACATAGACCTATATCTATGTACATAGATATCTAAACATATACCTAAATCCCTATCATTATATATTAATATATTTATATATGTGCATGCCTATATTTATATATCTATAAATGTCTTTTGCCTCCTAGTTCTTTCCACTATTTCCTTTTACTTTCCTCCTGTCCCAGGATGACGTTTGACCTTCATTCGGTTCTCAGTAATTCCTCTTGGATACATTGCACGTGATCAAACCCCACCAGGCATTCTATGCTCTCCTTGCCACCGATTTTAGATCTCTTGTTCCTTTGACTCTGCATTTCTTGGCTCCCCCTCTTCCTTTCTCCAACTTCCACCTCTCTACTGTCCCCTCAGAGCCATCGGCCCTATTATTTTCTCCTCAGGCTGGTTATCCTGCCTATCTTATATGGATAGGCATGAGAAAAAGCAGGGGGAAAATCACTAAAAAAACCAAACAAACCAACCTATAAATAAATAGTTCCAGGTCTGTCAGCTGACCCTTATGAATGTTTTCCAATTGGATCTAGTGAATTGCCAAGCCCTGCCCATTGATTCCTAAGTCTATTTGGGGATTCCTTGGAGACGTCATTGCTTTGCTCCGCTTGCTGCTCTGTTGTGGTCTCTCCGTGTTTCGCTCCGATGTGGGGGTGGGGGTGGGGGTGGGGGTGGGGGTGGTCGAATAGAACATAATTCCTGCACTGTGTTTCCAGCGCTGCCCTCTGTAGCACTGTGGGTCAGTGAGGGGGGCATCGTGTAAAGACATTTTAAGAAAGAAATTTGAGGGCATTTGTTGGTAGGAAAGCCACAGTACAAAAAAATGCTAAGGAAATAGAATGGAAAAGCTAAATTCAAATGCTAAAGAAAGTCCTTAAAGCCAAAGAGAAATTATCCTATATGGCTAATGAACACGGAGAGAGGATAACTATAAAAGAATTTTTAAAATATTTTAAAATGCTATTAACTGTTTGAAGGCAACCACAATAATAACCACTGTGTGCAGGATAACATTTATAGAAGCTATATATCTGACAATAATAAGATGTAGTGTGCAAACCTCTGCGTCAGTGTGACCATACGTAGTATTCCATTAGGAAGGGTAAATTGAGCTCTTAGAAGGTATTTTTACTATGGAAATTGTAAAATTCTAATTCAAGGTGGATTGTGAAAAGTTATAGATCTCTAATAATCATCAGAACATAATACAAGCCATGAATCAAAATGGAAATAGAAGAAAAATAAAATTATAATATCTATCCTGTTTTTTATGCCACTTTGAATTTATAGTAATTACCACATACTTAAAAATCTAATTTTAAACCTAATGGTATTTTCCCAACAAAAATTGCGATATAACACAATTACATTCTGTTTTTCATATAACATTTTCCTGGCATTGTTTAGGGATAAAGACATACAAACAGTTGATGAAGCCCGAGCTCTGTTTTGTCCTAATATGGTAAGGAATGAAACTGCAGATTAAAACTCATGTAACCATTGAGTTGAGCCTAAGGGCCACCATTGTGTAATGCTTCAAGAGTGGAAAGGCATAGTCACTATTCCCACTGTGGGATGCTGTGGGAAGTGTTTGGATCTCCTACCCACCGCAAAAAAGAGCCCTTCCAAATGTGCTTGTGACCAAAATGCTGCCTGACTCTCCTGCCAAGAAAATATGTTGATCGTGGCAATTAAGGGATTCTTGGAGTGAACTGTCTCCATATGAAGTCAACATTTTTCTCCGCTGGGCTGACTACTGCACATCTGTTCTCCATGCTACTGGCAAAGACCTACAGACGACACTACCCTCACCTTGCGTGAACATACCCTTTGTATAATTAAGGAACTCATCTTAGCTGAAATTACTGCTATGAACCCTAAACATGTTTGATTTCCTTCTTCTAAAATTCCTTGATTATTTCTTAAATTTCTTAGCACTTCAAAAATGTCAATGCTTTGGTATATTTGTCTGTATGTTTAATTTCCAAGGTAAGCTATGCTTTCCATGAAGCCATTCAAGTGGTCTGTATTGATGTGGGAAAATGTCTTATGATGTGCTTTTGAGTGGGAACAACAGAGTCTAGTGGATAGAGCAACATTGAGATCATGCACATGGAAGACCTTCAGTGTGGGGTTATATAATGATGAACTGAACAGTATAAATCAAACCAAACCAAACTCACTGATGTGTAGTTGATGCTGAGCTGTAGCAACCCCATCGGGCAGGATAGAACTGCCCATGTGAGTTTCTGAGATGGAAAATCTACGGGAGTAGAAAGGCTCCTTTCTCCCATGAGTGGCTGGTGGTTTTGAACTGCTGACTTTGCAGATTAAAGCACTACGTCACCACGGCTCCGTGTGAACAGTGTACTATGCTATAATTTTAAGACTTGGTCCACATCACCTGTTTGGGCTGTAAAATGTCTGCAATTCAAAGTTATTAATTCTTTTAAATGAGAGAAAGTTTTGAGGTGTTCATATATTTTCCCTGAAGATGGTATATACTGGAAATATAAATTTCAGTTTTGTAAACAGTAGCTGTTTACATGATGGTATTCAATTAATGTGTTAGTGGATTTTAGTATTGGCCTTTTTGCCAAATGGAAAGGCTCTAACATACACAAAAAAATAAAGAAACCATTACTGTCTTGATATCTGTGATTTCCTGAAATGATGACTTTGTGTTTCAATCAGCAAAATAGAACTGTCCTACCCAACCCTAAAGAACTCGGTGAAAACTCATCACCCCGTGATCAAGCATGTGGTTTTGCTTAGGTGCCTTTGCGTCAGTTCTGAATCAGAGCAAGCCAATGTGTAACTGAAGGACATGCTGCCTCATTGGCCTGGGTCATGCTCACAATTGTTATGTTCGAGCCCACTGTGGTAGCCAGTCTATTTGTTGTTGTGCCCGTCTGCCTCATTGGGGTCTTCCTCGTGTTCACGAACCCTCTGCTGTACCAAGCATGCTGTCCTGTTCCAGAGATTGGCCCATTCTGATAGCACGTCCCAAGTATGTGAGACAAAGAAAGTATCGACATAGCGGCTTCTAGGGAGCATTCTGGTTGTACTTCTGCCAAGACAGATTTATTTTTTTCTTTTGGCGGAGCCCAGAGCTTTCAATGTTCTTCACAAACATAGATGCCAAAAATTCCTTTTAACACAGCATAGCATACAAAATAAATGCAGATATTTCACATTTTCTGAAAGTGCTCTGATTTTAAAAATTAAATTGGTTCAACCTCTGTCAGTTAATGCTAAAGAACTACTTCATGTCCGACTGCATGAAAGGATCCATTGATTAAATTCCAGATATTTCTACTACAGGGACATCTAGAAAGATTCTTAAAGGCACAGAGAATAGGAGTAAATAGAAGTTTTGTTTTTCTTTATTATTTCCCTTCTATGTTTGCACTCACACCTCTCAGTGGGTTTTAGATTTGCTGTGGGGTGTGACTTAATATGCAGAGGAGGCAATCTCTGCATTTCATTACTTCCTTGTCCGCATGGAGCACAAAGCCCACAGCTGAGGTTACATCCTTCCACGTGAGTGCTTTTATTGAGGTGAAGCAGCTCAGACCACACGCTGGTTCAGTGGTAGTCTCAGCCCTTTAATTTAAGCTCGTCGGGCCGCAAGGTGAAGAAGGAAAATCTGGAGGAGCTCTGGCTTTCAAAGGTGTTACGTTCCCACGCCAAATTTCAGAACTATGTCAGAGTAAGAGCAGAATATTTTAGTACAGAAAGCTACTCAGGCCATGGTTGGGAGCTGAAGCGTTCTAGTTAATCAAATGTTCTGCTTTTAGAAAATCTAATATTGGTTAATCACGGAAGCCAATGTTTCGTTATGTTTTTATGTTGTCAGTAAAATCTCTCAGCACTCCAGGTTGTTGTTGTTGTTTTATGCTAATATGTATTAAGCACTTTTTGTTCTCGTTGCTTTGCCTGTGGTAGCTCACTTACTTCTCCCATACACTTGTGAGATAGTGCCTCGTGAAGCTTGCGTGCTCTAGCTCTTAGGCCCCTGTCTAGCGGTGGCCTTGTTAGGTAGCAAGAGCAGGAGCCTGTGCAGGCTTCAGCTGCAGACCACGTCCTTACTGGTGGTTCCCTTCTGACTGACGCTGGGCCCCTGTGCTCCAGGCTCAGCCCGATTCTCATCCCTGTTGCATCTTTTCCACATGCTGGTGTAGTCTTTTTTCTTACTAATCTCATTATTCTATTAGTCAATGTTCTCTGTCATCACTTTGGACACTCGCACTGTACGTGCTTTGAATAATGCAGATAATCTTCCCACTTAATGAATGTGTGAAATATATTTCACAGTAATTCTAAGCAAGTTGTCTTTCTGTCCATTCTGACTCATGGGAAGGAAGCGCAGGCGTGTCTGAGTTGAACTGTGCCCCAGAGGGTCTTCAACGACTGATTTTTCAGGAGGAGATCATTAGACCTTTCTCCTGATGCACCTCTGGGGGAACTCTGAATTTTTGGGTTCACAGCTGGGGTGTAGTAACTGTTTGCCCCAGCCAGAGAATCCCATCATGAGTAAAAATGATTACATAAAAAAGGTAGCCTTTAGGTGGTTAATCATTGATTAAGCCAGTAATCATTTCCTCAAATTCTTCTCTACCACACAACTATGTTTTTATGAAATCAACATACACCTACTACGTTTATTTTTCAACAAATACCCCCAGGAGGTTCTGCTTAAGCAGCTCTGTGCTCGTTTTGTTTTTATTTTATTGGTTGTTTTTTGGGGGGGGTTGCATATTACTGGGGAAAAGAGTGCGTTTGTCAAAACATCTGGGGAGATGGAACAATTGGCAAGCAAACATAGAAGGCGCATGTTACATATTTTTTAAAATATGGTAACTTTGTTTTTTATTAAATTAAAAATTACCTTTAGTTATATAGTTTATGAAATGAAGACCTTCAGTTTTCACTTAGAGATCTTTCTCTCTCCTCAGAAAACCCATTCCTTGCTGCCAAAGATTTAACAGAATGCTCTCCAATGAATCCTTACACCCGCCTGCATATACCCGCTCCGACTCACAAGCCTCCATAGACAGCACCTCCATGGAGGGTTTCTGGCGTGAAATAGAGAGTATTAAAGAGAGCTGCATGGACAACAGAGGACACGAGGAGCGAACACCCATGGAGGTCAAGCCCTTGGATGGTAAGGAATGCAATTGGTTTCCCCTTTTATTGAGTTTCTGTTGTTTTCGTAGCTCTTTCTTGGGTCAGTGGCAGGCAAATATGACTTCTGTCGTAGTTCACTGCATGAGTCAGTAAAAGTCAGCTTATGAACTCTGCCCCTTCTGGTCTATATACACTGGATAGGTACAGAAATCCCTCAGTCACACAAATGGTTAACGTGTTTGGTGGCTAACCAAAAGGTTGGAAGTTCAAGTCCACCCAGACGTACCCCAGGAAAAGGTACTGATGATCTACTTTTGCAAAATCAGCCATCAAAAACTCTCTGGAGCAAAGTTGTACTTCACATGCCTGGGTCCTCATGAATTGGACTTGCAATGCCAGGAACTGGTTTGGGTTGTTGTTTTGTTTTGTTTTCTGTTGCTTGCTGGCCTGGAGGAAAGGTGGTTTTGATCCAAGGTAACAAGACCCAAAGGAGGACAGGGCCTTTCTTACTTACAGCAACATCCCACGGATATCCCATCCTATACTTACATATAGGTACTTGTAACCGTTGTATCTATCTATTTCTTTGATTCATTATAATCAAGCAGACTGAGTATTCTAATCCTGGTGAGTTTGGCACCTGTATTTGAATGTAAATTATAAACAACAGCAAAATGAGAATAAGAGAAGCGGGGGAAAAAATGTCAATGGAATTTGAGAGAAAAGTCCTTGGCATTGAAGTAATTTATTGATTTTAATACATTTAGAGACCAACTTTATCAGACAACATAAAGTGAAACCCATGTCAGCCAACTAGTTTTCAGTGAAAATAAGCAGAAATATAAATAAAAGGTTGAGGCTAGAAAACATAAAAAAAAGAAAAGAAATTATTTACTTCCAGTTAAAAGCATAGGTCATCTCTTCGATGCCTTCCCATTCAGCAAGCTGGTGGTCAAACCATAGACCTTTTGATTAGCAGCCAATCACACCCTGTATACCAGGGCTCCTTTGCTAATCTATACTTCTTTTTTAAAAAAAGAGAAATCCTATAGGATTCTAATATTTAGTTTTCATAGATTTTTTCCCCTAGAAGTATATTCACACAGCCTAAGTATACAGTAGTGTATTTTGATAAATGTGTGCACGTTGGTAACTCCGACACAAGTTAACTCCCCGGTTCTCCGAATGATCAGTGGTTCAAATCTACCAGCTGCTCCGCAGGAGAAAAAGATGGCAATCTGTAAAGACTTACAGCCCTGTTGGGGTTGCTATGAGTTGGAATCAACTTGATAGCAATGTGTAAAATAACCAACTTGTAACATTCCATGATGTAGAAATTTTCACGTGCCTTTTCTTGGCCAATCTCCTTGCTCACCACCACTTACTAGTCCCTGCCAGAGGCAGGCACAATTGTGAGCTTAAAATATTTTTGCACTGCAGTTTACTGTGCGTCAATGTTTGGCTTCTTTCAGCTAACATAATCTTTTTCAAATTACTGTTTTAGATTTGGCCTGCTATTTAAGTATACCTTTGCATTTTCTGTAAAAGACAAGGCTTACAAAGCAAAGAAACAAAAAAACATGATATCAAATAAAATATTTACTTAGCTAAGAGATTAGATTTGCCCAGCACTTAGAAGTCTTTGTTTATATACAAATGAAGCTGTAATATAAGCAGACTCCAGGACTCCTGAGTGATGTTTTGACATGCTATTTACCAAGCAGTCTAATTTGCTCTTTAAATAAGCCGCATTCAATTCCCAGAAGCGAAAGTATATGCGTTCTGTGTTGCAGGACGTCATTATTTGCAACTCTTTATTATTGCTACGCATCTAATTTAAAATAGTAATTCTTGTTTTAAAGCCATTCATTTTAACTTTTTATTGTGAACTGGGTGAAGGTTTACAGAGCGGATCACCGGTTTCATAGTCAGCGATTCAGACACATTTTGCTTTGCTTCCTCGCTGTCCTCTCAGTGTCCCTCAGTGCTTCTACCTTCCTGTTTCCTGCTTCCAGTCCTCCGTTTTCCACCCTTCTCAACTTTGTCCTTGGAAAATTGCTGCCCTTTTGATCTCAGATGGTTGTGATTATTCGAAAGTGTGTGTCCTTCACTACTGTTGAACCCCTACAGACCTGTCTATTGTTTGGCTGAAAATTGAACCACTACGGTGGGTTCAGGTCCAGACTTGAAGGGTGGTTAAAGACCATCGTCTCAGCATCTCCACTAATCTCATGTGACCAGTCAGCTTGGTCCTGAGTCTGTTCCAGGTTTGATCCTGAGTCTGTTCCACGTTTTTCTCCTGCCAGGCTTCCACAACTCCGAAAGTGATTACTGGAAGTGATCACATTAAGAGCAATGGATTTATATTATGAGAATTTTAAGCTTTTGAATTGTTTTCTGCAAAAATGAAGGATTACCCGATGCTCAAATTAAAGAGCAAAGTAAACGAGGCAGGGAGCCCTATTGGTACTGTGGGTTAGATGTTGGGCTGCTAAGGAAAAGGCTAGTGGTTCAAGTTCACCATGCACTCCTGGTAAGAAAGACCAGGCTGGCTACTCTGTTCAATGTTTACAACCTCAGGGACCCTCTTGAAGAGCACTGTGAATCAGAGCGGACTCAAGGGCAGTGGGTTTGGGGCTTTGTTGTAGTCACTGTTACTTTGTTTCAGATTCTTTGCCATATGTCTTAAGTACACTGATAAATTCCCTCAGCAATCTAAAGCTTTCGTTATTATCCCTCCATTGTGCAGAGAGGACAGTGAAGCGTAGGGTTTCTTGTAAACTTTACCAAAGTCACTGAGCTAGGAATTGGTGGCACTGAGATTTGAACCTGCATTTGAGTGAGATTAAACATTATCTGTGCTCTATTAACCTACTCTTTTGCATTGTGGCACTAGGGGGTGCCCGGTTTGGGGAGACAATCTTCCGTTGACATTTAAAATAATTATAATTGACTTTGAACAGCATGAGGCTATAAGGAGGATTGGGGACACTTAACCTCTCCTTTCAGTGAAAAATCCACTTAACAACTGTTGACTGCCTTACAGATAACATAGAAAGTCAATTAACATATATTTTGAAAGTTCTTTGTATCATATGCTTTGGTAGTGCTAGGGGTTAGGCATTATACTGCTATCTACTAGGTTGGCAGTTCAAACCTACCAGCTGCTCTGCAAGAAAAAGATGAAACTGCACCCATAAAGATGTATAGTTTCAAAAATGAGGAGCTGATACCAAGGGCTCAAGTAGAAAGCAGGTGTTTTGAGAATGATGATGGCAACATATATACAAATGTGCTTGACACAATGGATGGATGGATGGCTTGTGATAAGAGTTATATGAGCCCCTAATAAAATGATTGAAAAAAAAGATTCATAGTTTCTGATCATTAAGAGTAGGAATTGACTGTATGGCAGTGGATTTGGGGCTTTAGATATATTCTACATATAATATATACATGCTGTTTTTGTATTCTTAGAATACATAAGCTGTCAGTTTGTTATACTATAATGACTTGTCTGTTGCTATGAGCCTGGAAGCTACGTCACTAGTATGTCACTGGTATTGGCCATTTTGAATCAGAAAATCATGTGGTTTACTATATTGGTAATGACAGATTCAAGAGGAGTGGTATTGTATTCATCTTCAAAAAGGACATTTCAAGTTCTATCATGAAGTACAGCGCTGTCTGTGGTAGGATTGTATCTACCCACAGGCAAAGAAATGCAGTGAATACACCAACCACTAAAGCTAGTGATGCCGAAATTAAAGAATGCTACCAACATTTTCAGTCTGAATGTGATGGAACATGCAGTCAAGATGCATAGATAATTTTTGGTGATTGGAATGTAAAAGTTATTAGGGAAGAACAGTATTTGGGAAATATGGTCTTGGTGACAGAAATGAACTTGGAGACCACATGATAGAATTTTTCAAGACCAATTCTTTTGTAGCAAATACCTTCTTTACACAACAAAAAGTGCGAATATACAAATGGACTTGTCCAGGTGGAATGCACAAACCAAATTGACTACTTCTGTGAGACAAGATAATGGAGAAGCTCAATATCAGCTGATAAAATGAGGCCAGGGCCTGACTGGAACCAACCATCAGTTGCTCATATGTAAGTCCAGGTTGAAGTTGAAGAATGTTAAAGCAAGTCCACAAGAGCCAAAATATGACCTTGAGTCTATCTTGAATTTTGAGATATCTCAAGACAGATTTGACTAACTGAACCCTAATGACAGAAGATCTGATGCATTGTGGGATGATGTAAAAAAGTCATTTATGAAGAAAGCAAAATTCATTAAAAATAAATATGGTGAATGAGGGGGAGTGCAGAGCGGGGAACCAAGACACATCTGTGAGCAACTGGACATCCCCTTACAGAAGGGTCCCGGGGAGGAGACGAGCCAGTCGGGGTGCAGTGTGGCAACAATGAAACATACAACTTTCCTCTAGTTCCTAAATGCTTCCTCCTCCCCCCCTATCATGATCCCAATTCTACCTTACAAATCTGGCTAGACCAGAGGATGTACACTGGTACAGATAGGAACTGGAAACACAGGGAATCCAG